AATGAGGATGGAACTTTCTTAACCTGATAAAAGGCATTTACAAAGAGCCTACAGCTAAAATCATACTTAATGGTGAAAGACTGTCTGCCTTCCCTATGACAGTGGGAACAAGGCATGAAGTCCACTTTTACCATTTTATTCTACATTGTAACAGAAGTCCTAGAGAGTACAGTGAAATAAGAAGAAATAAAAGGCATAAAAAGATTGGAAAGAGAGTAACTGTTATGGACTGAATTGTGGTGTCACCTCCACCCCCCCAGCAATTCATATGCAGAAGTCCTAACCCCCAGTACAGCTCAGAATGGGACTGTATTTGGAGACAGGGCCTTTAAAGAGGTAATTAAGGTCAAATTAAGTCATATGGGTGGGCCCTAATCCAATATGACTCTTTGTCCTTATAAGAAAAGGGAGACACACCAAGAATGCACATTCACAGCAAAAAGGGCAAATGAGGACACACTGAGAAGGCAGCCATCTGCAAACCAAGGAGAGAGGCCTCACGGGGAATGACTGGAAAGGAACGTGAGGAAGTTTTCATGAATAATGGAAATGTACTATTTCTTAATTATGTAGGTATATCCAATTGTCAAGGCTTATTAAACTGTACTATTAAGTCCTGTGCAATTTTATTGTATATAAATTAAACCTCAATTAGAATAAAAGAAAATGAAAAAAACCCCACAGTTTTCTTGCCTCTCAAGCAGTGCTGTTTTTAAGACCCCACTCTACTCACTTTGACATTACCAATCAATCAGCATTAGGACTTTGAAGGGACCAGCACATACACTTCTTAAGCCACTAGATCATTGCAGGGACTGAGGTCAAAAGGTCTAATTGATTAGATCCTTGTTGTGGGAAAATGGGGCAAGGACACAAAAAGAAAAATTAATATTTATCCAGTCAACCCTTGAACAACGTGAGGGTTAATGCCAGTGTAACTGAGAGTAGGCCCTCCGTATAGGCGGTTCCTCCACATCCGTGGATTCAATCAATCATGGACTGTTTAGAACTGCAGTATTTACTACTGAAAAAGCTCCGCATATCAGTGGACTCGGTAGTTCAACCCTGAGTTGTTCAAGGGTCAACTGTAATATATTAATTCATTAAACAAATACATTACAAAACAAAAACATTAATACCACATGTTAAGCAACATTCAAGGAAATGGGGAAACAAAAGTGAACATAAGGAGTTCTTATATTCTCATGGGAGAAGACACAAAACACACATAATAAGCAGGTAAATTATGTAGTATTTTGAGATACTTGTATTGCAGAGGATAGGAAATGTAGAGCCTCTGGTTCAAGTTACTATTCGATATATAGCAACTTCAACTCTGAATTTTAGTCTCTTGCGTTTGAAGTTTTTTTTTGAGTGGGCTGGGCAGGATGATTTAATCTACATGTTTAGGTTTATTCATAGCTCTGTACTATGCTTGTCTGCTGTGTTTTAATGATAAAGGTATCAATTTTTAACAAATCTTTTAGCTCAGACTACTGGGAACCAGAAGTAATATATTGTGGTATCCTTTCTAATGATTAAACATATAATGATAATGCTAATGCTAATAATAAAAGAAACATAAATAAATGTTCCTTAGAGGCAAGATGGAAATGGTTTCTGTACTTTAGATACTCCTACTTGCTTATTTCTTTAATCAGGACTGCAATATTAATCCAACATGGGCTACAAATAACGCTCACATCATTGCAAGCACAGGCTCACGTAGAGGAACAACTAGGAGCTTCAGAGATTATTTCTCACTTCAGATCATTCCTTCATTTCCAGTAAAAGAAAAATGTGTTTGGGAGTCTCTCAGGGAGTCTCAACCAGTGACAGCTGCTGTATGTTATATAACCTATAAAACCCCGAAAGACAAAATGAAGGGCATGGTCAATACCATCCAGTAAATCCAACTTACTCTAGGTTCAGCCTCTCTCATACCCTCTCAAAGTGTTAAGGGGAGTCAGAGATCGATGTCAGAGAAATAAACAGGAGGTAGCTCTAAATGTAGTATTGGGCTTTTAGTATTGGGTTAGTATTTTCCTAATTAATTCTGGAACATGCGTGCTCAGTGGCCTCACAACCTCTGCCAGCCCATCAGCATAACAGGAAAAAATATTCTCCCAGCTTTGAGGGCTCTTATAAAAGAGAGTCAGTGATTGTTCAGGAAGGGGAGGTTCTAGGCAAGCTAGGAGAGAATAAAAATACTGCTGTGTAGGGAGGAAAAAAGAAGAATGAAGTTTGGGTATTTTTAGATTTATGCCTTTGGCTTAAAAGTTCTTGACGCAAGTTTGGATTTTCCTAAGTAATGTCTCCTTGTTCCACAGAGCTCAATAAAAGCAACTAAGACAGAACATTCCAAGCATCTATGACTGGAAAACAATTTATATTTTAAGCATAATTCTGACAATACTGTACTGTACTGATATTTTTGCAATCACAAGGTTATTTCTTGAGACAAGAATCAGGTCTGTTTTTTTTTTTTTTTACATGTTTAGTATTAATAAAGTCGACAGAATGGTGAGGAGGATAGGAGAGGTAAAGGAGAAAGAGACTGATAATAAAGATTAATGGTCCTTCAGTAAATGTCCTATGTAGTACTTAATGTTTAAAGGACAACAAAAGTAACAAAGGATATAAAACAGAATAATAACATATTTTAAAACTTAGACATACTAAAGAGAGGAAAGCAATTAAGGAGATGCTAAACCAAGCAGTGTAACTTAGGTAATTGGTGTCAGGTCATTGACTCAGGCTAAACAGGGGGTCCAATCCTGCTACAGCACACCTTGGAAAGTTGGTCTCCCACAAAAAATGCCAATGCAATAACTTTGCCCTGTACTGTGATCTGTGTATACCACCAGCTCTGCAACGGGCAGAATGGCTCAAAGGGGCAGTTTTAGCTCCTCAATGATCAGGTATGCCATAATTTTGCTAATGGCTCCATATTAGAATAAAAGAAGAGAAAAATACAAGATAGCATTTCTTATTAGTAGAAGAAAAAGTTAATAGTTGCTGTGAATACCTTGAAACAAAACCCTTTTAAAAAGATGAAAAATTTTCCATTTTTCTCACTATAATGCTACAACCCTCCCCACCCCCCAAAAAAAGAGAAGGAAAAAAAAAAAAAACTAATGAAAAAAAATAAAACCATGAGTGAAAACTGTTCTTGAAAACTGCAGAATTATAACAGCTTTCTGTTGGTTAAATTGATTGGTATAGTAACATTATAAAATGACTATTAGGACTCATTGTGCACAACAGAAAGTGCTGAAATGTCAGCAGACTACACAGCAAAAAGTAATGGGTTCTGAACCCCTGTTAGTCAAAAATGATATTGTTTCAAATTAGAAATTGATTTTTTTTTTTGGACAAAAGCCCTTTCTAGACTTCTGGCTTCTGTAGCTGGGCCTGGGAGAGATTAACCTCCACCATGGCCAGGGCTGGCCTGATGATACCTTTCTCAAAGTGCCTTTTCAATTGCAGTTTTCTAATGTTGCTGCGGTCTCAACCAATAACACAAGTTATTTGTCCCTTTGCTATCACACTGTATTTTTCTCATTTTGCTATTTTATTTTACTGCTGACACACAATACAAATTTATTGTCAAGTTAATAGAAGACTATGTTGAGCCTTGCAGTATAACTACCACACCAATTCTGACTGGTTCTCCACTCTCCAAAGTGCAATGACTAAGAATAGAGGGAGCCAAAAGTAAGAGTTTCCCATCTCTGAAGGACTATTAATAGAGAAAGTAGAGAAGATGCCATCTCAGATACTAAGTCTCCTCAATTTCAGTTTTGTTTCTGTTAGCAAAGTCTAAAAAGACAGAAGTTGTTCTAAGTTGTCCTAAAACAACAGAGGTCTGCAGAACTTTTGCCCTATGTCAAACAAAAATGTACCTTTGCTTTTGTTTCAAATTGTGGATAGTCTCCCTTCTGAAGCTTGGACTAATTATCATCTCTCAGTTATCTGGGAGAGGACTAAGCGATTTCTAGACTAATCATAATTAAAACCAAAAAACATGACAAAGTTGGCAGCTCATGAGGAAAGGTAGAGAGTAGTATACCTGTAAGATCTCATAAAGCACTGCTCAATTCTCAAATAAATAAATGTGAACGTGGTTAGAGAGATTATGAAAAGTTGGTTGATTACCACTAGCAGTGGGCAGTGCTAGCTAGCCCAGTAAAATAAGAGGTAAACAAGGAGGAAATCAGGGTAAATGGTTGTGAGCAGGAACAAAAGATGTCTGGGAAAGAGGCGTGAGCAGAAGGGGGCTCTGAGACCTTTTGTGCCCTTTGTTTTCTGTACATCATTTCTGACTGATGAAGCTCAGACTTGTTCCATTCTGTCCCAGAGTCCCTCCTTTAACGATTCCAGGAGAGATTTAAGCCAAAAGTCACTCCAGAAACAACTGAGAAATGCAATTAAATTTGACTGCCTCACTCAACCTTTCACATAGTTATTTATAATTGATTTCTTTTAAAATATCTACGATATATAAAATAGGAAGGATTATTGGCACTTCAAAGACTGCTAGGCAATATAGGCTTAAGACGTATGAGATTCTGTTTTAGACGCAATGACCTCTCCTCCACCCTCCTTTTATTTCCAGTTAATCGAGGATTAACTGTAGTTATTAGAGTTTACTTTCCCAGCAAAGATTTATGTTCAGTTTCTTGTCCTCTTTATTTGCTTTAAGCATTATTTTATGTCTATGACCACATTTACTGCTTAATAATTCTTGCAGTTTGCTGTTTGCAAAAAGAGGGACACATTAGACAGTTTCTCATATGAGTGTTCTAAGAGAAATGTTGATGCAATTCACTGATCTAGGTGACGTGCTACCTTTGGCCTTGCAGGCCCATGTCAGTCTGTAACACATTTAACTCTTGTTCAGGGTTATAGGAAATCATCTGGAGCTCATGGCTAGCAGCCATCAGCAACCAACTGCCCCCAAGAGCTTCCTGTTTTGCTACTACAGATGCTGAGCTTACCTCTTTGGGGCTGATATGCATCTTTCTTTTGACCTGTCCACAGGGCATCATCTTCCATATGTGACTGAAACCCAACTGTCTTCTTCTCCCTTCTATTCTCTCCATTATTAGTGAAGTCTTGGTACTTTTTGCTGGATGATGATGTTCCAAGCGTCCAGACATCACATTTTGACTTCAATAAACTGAAAAGAATAAACATTTATGAGCTGTAGGCAGCACAGCAGGGGGTATAGATCACACAAAGGCATATACGTTCAGTATGAATTGAAATGCAATTCATGGCAATAGAAACTTTCTTTTTCTTATCTTTTATTGATGTATAATTTAAATAATTTACTGAAGGTCTATTTTGTGTTCTGCCAAAACAATTTTGGAGAAGAAATGGTTTTTATCCTCAAAAAGTTTATATTTGGGGTTGGGGAAATGAGACTCAGACCCTAAAACTGCTAATAAAGCCATAGAGTATGACTAAGAACCAGAGTATCTGTAAAAATAAAAAGTATGCTAAAACAAGACTTGCATAACTAAAATGTTTCCGAGTACTAAAAATGAATGAGGGATGAAAATATCACCAATTTGCTTCAAAATGTATTTGTGTTTCTCATTTTCAATTGTTATAGTATTTATTATGTACTCAGGGTATGTGAGGAATAGTACTATAGTGCTTGTGGGAGAATTGGTCTCTGTCCTCACATAATTTCATTATAAAGTCAACAAGGCAAATATGGAGTAAAAGAAATTTTAATGAAAATAAACACATGTGCATATGTTTTTCTCTCCAGTGAAATATGTTCCCACCATTAGCACAATTCCTCTTATAACATTTTATTTTTTAGAGAGAAATGTTATGATGACGTGTATCCCTTACTATTCTACCAGCCCCTTCCTTCTAATTTAAGTTCACCATAGACTCATGATACTTCAGTTTTGTCTTCCCCATGACCATAAACAAGGTGAAAATTAAAATGAAGAAAAATAATTTATTCAAAAAGTAACATTCTAAAAACTAGGATATTTAAACTCCCCAGCAGCAGAGGCAATCTCTAGACAAGAATAGGTTGATGGAATATTACTGGATCCATTATGAATGCTAGGTGGCCCTTGACCAGGTTTGAAATCACATAAACCCATCAAAGTCACTGGGCTCCTTTTGTGTGGATCAGAATTTTTAGTCATGTTTGCTCACATCATAATTTATTAATAAAAACCAATACATTAAATGGTTTTATGTTCAGAGTGGTGAAAATAAACAAACTATTAGCTGTATGGCTTTACAGGGGAATAAAGCAGTGTATTAAATTTATACACTTAAAATTTTTTTTACCAGAACCCAAGGATCACTTTCCCTTGTGGACCTACCAGTGGATGCATATCTTAGCTAATGTAACTTCTACTCATGGGACAGGAAAATACAGAGAATAAAACTGTATTACTGTTAATGAAAGATAAGTTTACCTCAAACCAGAAGTCCCAAACCCTGGCAAATCCAACAATGACATCTCTACTTGTTCTTACAGAAAAGTTAATGTGACCAAGACTACTGGGTTTCCCAAAATCATACATTCTCAGGTCAGCCAAGCTCCCAATACTAGCTAATGTTGATCACTCCCAATACTGAATAGTTCCTTCCATTTTACACAGAAGCTTGTCTGTACCTTTATTCCAAATCCCATCCTGGGAACCTGGGTTCTAATTTCCCTGAAATAAAGATGACTATATAAAAAAATTTCTTCTTTCATTTGCATTTATTTCCAACTTTACCCATCTACTATTCTTCTATTAACATCTCAGAAGGAAATCACACCTTTTACTCATACTCTTGATACCATTATTGGCCCCTTCCCTCTGTGACTATGGCCTGCCAATCATCTCCTTTTCTTATAACTTACAAACTCCTCCTCTCAAATGAATTCTCTCCTAGGATTACAAATAAGACTAGACTTTCCATTAAAAATCAAAACCTAAATCTAAATCCCAAAACTATCCCTTAAGTGGAAAAGTATAATAATACTCAGTGTCAGTGAGAGTGTTGGGACAGGAGGATTTTAGTATAGTACTAGAGAAACTGCAAATTGGGATAACCCTTATGTGAGTGATTTGTCACTACAAAATAAAAGTGCACCTAACCTCCTACAATTTCACTTTTAAGAAGTTACCCTATAGAATTACATAAACAACAGTGGAATTAGAAAATTTTCTCACACTACATACAAAAATAAATCCAAAATGGATTGAAGACCTAAATGTAAGACTGGAAGCCATAAAACTCCTAGAAGAAAACATAGGCAGAACACTCTTTTGACATAAATCATAGCAATATTTGTTTTGGATCTGTTTCTAAAGGCAAAGGAAATAAAAGCAAGAATAAATGAATGGACCTAATTAAACTTAAAAGCTTTTGCACAGCAAAGGAAACCACTGAAAAAATGAAAAGACAACCCACTGAATGGGAAGAAATATTTGCAAATGACGTGACTGATAAGGGGTTAACAATCAAAATATATAAACAGCTCATACAACTTAACATCAAAAAACCCAAACAACCCAATTTAAAAAATGGGCAGAAGATCTGAATAGACATTTTTCCAAAGAAGATATACAGATGGTCAACAGGCACATGAAAAGACATCGCTAATCATCAGAGGAATGCAAGTCAAAACTACGATAAGATATCACCTCATACCTGTCAGAATGGCTATCACCAAAAAGACAACAAACAACAAATGTCGGCAAGGATGTGAAGAAAAGGGAACCCTTGTATACTGCTGGTGGGAATGTAAATTGGTGCAGCCTCTATGAAAAACAATATAGAGACTTCTCAAAAAGCTAAAAATAGAACCAACATATGATCTAGCAATTTCACTCTTGGGTATACATCTGAAGAAAACGAAAACACTAATTTGAAAAGATGCATGCACCCCATTGGTCATAGCAGCATTATTTACAGTAGCCAAGCTATAGAAGCAACCTAAGTGTCCATCAACAGATGAATGGATAAAGAAGATGTGGTATATATATACAACGGAACACCACCCAGTCATAAAAAAAGAATGAAATTTTGCCATTTACAACAACATGGATGTACCTGGAGGGTATTATGCTCAGTGAAATAAGTCAGACAGGGAAAGACAAATGCTATATGCTATCACTTATATGTGGAACCTAAAAATTAAAACAAATGAATGCCTATAACAAAATAGAAACAGATTCACAGATAGAGAGAACAACTAGTGGTTACCAGTGAGGAGAGGGAAGAGGAGAGGGGCAGGATAGGGGTACAGGATTAAGAGGTACAAATTACTATGTATAAAATAAGTAAGCTACAAGTATATATTGTACAACACAGGGAATACAGTCTGTTTTATAATAACTATAAATGGAACATAATCTATAAAACTTCTGAATCACTGTCTCATACACCTGAAACTAATACAGTATTGTAAATAAACTATACCTTAATTTAAAAAAATAAATAGGGACTTCCCTGGTGGTGCAGTGGTTAAGAATCCACCTGCCAATGCAGGGGACATGGGTTTGAACCCTGGTCAGGGAAGATCCCACATGCCATGGAGCAACTAAGCCCATGCTCCACAACTACTGAGCCTGTACTCTAGAGCCCATGAGCCACAACTACTGAGCCCGCGTGCCACAACTACTGAAGCCCGGGTGCCTAGAGCCTGTGCTCCGCAACAAGAGAAGCAACCGCAATGAAAAGCCCATGCACTGCAACGAAGAGGATCCCCCACTTGCCACTACTAGAGAAAGCCGGTGCGGAGCAACGAAGACCCAATGCAGCCAAAATAAATAAATAAATAAAATCCTACTATCATCATTTATAAAATAAATAAATAAAATAAATGAAAACAGAAAAAAAGAATGAGGTAGTTCTCTATACTACTGTGAATAAACTTCATGACATACTATTAAGTAAAAAAAGGGCAATTTGCAATAATAGAATATATAATATGATCTCATTTTTGTAAAAACAAAAATATACAAAAAATATTTTTTAAGTTCTGGATGGATAAATAACAAATCAGAAAAGTAGAACAGAGTTACTGAGGGAACGATTTTTATAATTTAATTTATATACTTCTGAATGTTTAAATTTCTTCCAATAGGCATGCACTTCCGTAATTATAAAACAAAAAATTTCACCATCTCCTTTATGTTACCATCTTCTCTCCTTCCCTTCTTTGCCAAACTTCTAGAAAACAATAATTTTAACAGATATGCCTACTAAAACTATTTTTTAAAGAACAAATCTAGTGGTGTATTCTCTTTCAACCATCTTGCTTGTTATAAGACTACTTCACAGCAACTGACTCCTTCCTTAAAACTTATTTCCCTTGGAGTTCATGACATATATCTTGATTGGTTTTCTAGTTTTAGGAGGCTGCTGCTCATATTCTTTTATTGGGAGCTCTTGTACTTCCCTTCCCCTAAATGCAGACATTCCTGATGATTCTGCCCTTGTCCTTCTTCTCTTCCTCCCTTAGCACTTTCTTAGTGATCCCTGTCACACCACTGTATCTCCAATTATGATTTCTAAATAGATTCATCTAGCCCACAATGTTCTCCAAAACTGCTGACCTCTTCAAGTATCTGTTGAAAAGCTGTGAAGAGATGCCTTGTCCTACCTCCCAAAACCAACTCACGCTAAAGCAATGAATAATCTTTATCTTGAAACCTGTTCCTTTATCTGTTTCCATTCTCATTTAATGTATCACCATCCTCCCTGCTACTCAGATGAAAAACTTCAGCTGTCTCAAATTCTGCTTTCCTTATTCTTGTTCAATAAATTGCCAAATCAATCATTCATTTATATATTCCTTAGATATTTATTGAGGACATATTCATATGTATGAAGGGACTGGGGTGGGCAAATAGGGAAAAGAAATATTTACTGAGGACTTGTTATGTGCTAGGTGCTAGGTATACAAACCAGCAAGATCTGGTTCCTGCTCTCCAAGTGATTTTAATGGCGGAGACAGACATGGAAACAGATTTTTTTTAATATGATATGATACAAGTTATGACTCAGGAATATGTGTGGTGTTTAAGGAAGCACAAAGGCAGGGCATCTAACTGTATTTGAATAACTGAAGGGAAATTCCTGAAGCTTTCAAACTAAGTCTTGGTGGATAAGCAGGGGATAAGGAAGGATAGTAGGATGGAAGGC